GAAACCCTGGTGCCCATCCCACCTAAAGTGTAATCTCAACGCCTAGTTAATCTAAATGATAGTAGATTCTAGTGATGTCGTGTTATTGGTATCATGGGAGGTGTTTTAATAAAATAGGGATAGTCTTAATCTCCGAACTCACTTTATGCCTTGCCATCCAAATGTCGATTCGGGGGGAAGGGGTTGAATTGGGCTTTCTTGTTATAAACACCACTGTGTATGTGTCAACACAGATTTTGGTCCTTGTATGTGTGTATATGTCCTGTGTATGTTTATGTTTGGCTATGCGTGTGTGTCTGTGGTAACACCAACACGCCCCCCCTCCCCCCACTGCGGCGATTGTGTGTGTGCTCCGTCAAACGTGTCCTCACACATTTGCATCTTTTCATTTCCAGGATGGGAAAAAAGAAACCAAAGGATGAAGATGCATCTGAGGTTGTTTTTGTTTTCTTTTCGTTGGCCGTTCACTTGTTACTTTTACACAACACAAAAATTCTTGTTCTGTTTGAAATTTGCATAAGTGAAAATTTAACTTTTTGTTTACTGTTTTGTGTTTATGTCCGCTTTGCTGAAATTGTTTCATAATAATTTGTTACTTCGCTTTTCGAATTTCAACATCACTTGTTATGGTGAACGAATCTGTGGTTTCGACGAATCGGGATATTTCTAGTTAGACGAATTGGGACCATTCTGATTCGACGAATCGGTAACGACGTTTCCGTTCTTGGCTCTATTGTCCTTTTCGACCGTGAAGGTCGATATGGTAGTTAAAGTAGAGTGTATCTGCCCTTTGACCTCGATGCACGAGAAGATAGTGTTGTCACTCATTGTCAGCACTAAACCCTGCAGTCTCCACTTTCATTGACTCGAGTCCATAACCCGGCGGTCATGGCTAGACTAGAACATGTTCTGTAGACTTGTGCCCGGGAATCTGTACATGTTTAACATCTCTGATCAACTCGCCTAAAGTGAGTGACGGTCATGGCTAGACTAGAACATGTTCTGTAGACTTGTGCCCGGGAATCTGTACAAGTTCAAAATCTCTGATCAACTCGCCTATAGGGCTAGTAAGGTAGGTCACCAACCAGTTCTAAGGCTCATGCAGGTTTTATTGAGCCGTAGAACTGGTTGGTGACCTACTTACCAGCCCTATAGTGAGTGACGGTCATGGCTGGACTAGAGCATGTTCTGTGGACTTGTGCCCGGGAATCTATACAAGTTCAAAATCTCTGATCAACTCGACAACTCGCCTGTATCGGTGGGTTAACTGTAGGGATCTTGTTGGGGCTGGGTAAGATGTCAGATGAGAGAATATGTTTGACCAACTGTGTCTATTGTAAGACTTTGACTGTATGTTTAACCAGTGGACGCATGTTTAACCTGTGAATGTATGTTAAACCAGCGACTCTATGTAAACCAGTGGACGCATGTTTAACCGTGTCTGTATGTTAAACCAGTGGACGTATGTTTAACCAGTGCCTGTATGTTAAACCAGTGGACGCATGTTTAACCTGTGGACGTATGTTAACCAGTGGACGCATGTTTAACCGTGTCTGTATTTTAAACCAGTGGACGTATGTTTAACCAGTGACTGTATGTTAAACCTGTGTCTGTATGTTAACCAGTGGACGCATGTTTAACCGTGTCTGTATATTTTACCAGTGAACGCATGTTAAACCAGTGTCTGTATGTTAAACCAGTGTCTGTATGTTAACCAGTGGACGCATGTTTAACCGTGTCTGTATGTTTAACCAGTGTCTGTATGTTAAACCAGTGTCTGTATGTTAAACCAGTGGACGCATGTTTAACCGTGTCTGTATGTTAAATCAGTGGACGCTTGTTTAACCGTGTCTGTATGTTAAACCAGTGGACGCTTGTTTAACCGTGTCTGTATGTTAAACCAGTGGACGCATGTTTAATCGTGTCTGTTTGTTAAACCTGTGTCTGTATGTTAAACCAGTGGACGCATGTTTAACCGTGCCTGTATGTTTAACCAGTGGACGCATGTTTAACCGTGTCTGTATGTTAAACCAGTGGACGTATGTTTAACCAGTGTCTGTATGTTAAACCAGTGTCTGTATGTTAACCTGTGGACGCATGTTTAACCGTGTCTGTATGTTAAACCAGTGGATGCATGTTTAACCTTGTCTGTATGTTAAACCAGTGGACGTATGTTTAACCAGTGTCTGTATGTTAAACCAGTGTCTGTATGTTAACCTGTGGACGCATGTTTAACCGTGTCTGTATGTTAAACCAGTGTCTGTATGTTAAACCAGTGGACGCATGTTTAACCGTGTCTGTATGTTAAACCAGTGTCTGTATGTTAAACCAGTGGACGCATGTTTAACCGTGTCTGTATGTTAAACCAGTGGACGCATGTTTAACCGTGTCTGTATGTTAAACCAGTGGACGCATGTTTAACCGTGTCTGTATGTTTAACCCATCATCTCCAGGCCTCAGAAGGAACTGATGCAGGTGGGGGAGGTGGCGGCGGCGAAGATGAAAAAAAAGAAGTATGTTAGTCGACAGGGGCAGCTCACATAAGTTTGACACTCTGTTCACATAAGTTTAACATTCTGTTCACATACGTTTAACACTTTGTTCTTGATTATGTTATGTGGGGAGCTTCTTTTCAACTCCCATTGAAAAACGCCGTAGATTAAAGTAATAAAAAATGGCCATTATTAAAGAATCGCTCAAAGTTAAATCCCCCAAATCATCATCAAAAAATCTTGAAAAATTGCCGAAGGATCAATTTCCCAAATTATCACCAAAACATACATTGCCAAACAACCGACAAAAGTAAAAAATTCCACACTTTTGAAGTTACGTTGACAATCCCCAAATAATGCCAAAATGTTTGATTCCCTGCGATTTGCACATTGGTAATCCATTGAGCAATGCTTTTGGTTGTAAAGCCTCGTTTAAATGTGGATTGTTTAAAATTTCACCAACCCCTGCTGTAAAAAATAGCAAATAGCGTATTCCTCACACTCTTTTTTAACCTTACCCCCCCCCCCCCCCCCCCCGAATATTCAAATATATAAGTCAATAGCGGTAAATTTGACTCGGTGAAAAAGGCTCTCATCATTTCTTTGTAAGCGGTTTATTGATATTCTCTGTTCTCAGTTTGATGTTCTTTTTACAAAGTTTTTTTAAAAGTAATATAACGTTGATTGTTATTGTTTACCATTTTAAAATAACTTTTGATGTTTACATGCGGGCAATAGCCGGGGACGTTTACAATGCTAAAATTTTCTCAACTAAAGCTAGGGTAGACATTTTCTCTCACGTGACATGATATTACACCAGCTCACATATTGTTTTATGAACATACATATGCATCAAGGTTTTAACAAACAGTATCATCAACTAAAATATTTTTTTATGAACATACATATGCATCAAGGTTTTAACAACTAACAGTATCATCAACTAACATATTGTTTTATGAACATACATATGCATCAAGGTTTTAACAACTAACAGTATCATCAACTAACATATTGTTTTATGAACATACATATGCATTACGTTTTAACAACTAACGGTATCACCAACTCACATATTGTTTTATGAACATACATATGCATTTCGTTTAAACTACTCACGGTATCACCAACTCACATATTGTTTTATGAACATACATATGCATTTCGTTTAAACTACTCACGGTAGCACCAGCTCACATATGTGCTGTAAACTGCTCACATAGCACATAATCAAATATATGAGCCCCACAACGATGCCTGCTACATTGGAAAAGCTTCGTCAGCTTGTGTAGCAAACGTCGGTTTCATCGATTTTCATGCCTGAAATATGCATTGAATAATTAACTTAGATAGCGTTTGATGTTAGCCTAGTTAGTTTTGTTTTTCTTTGCTTCAAGACATTTTACTTTACCCAAAGTAACATTTGCTTCAAGACATTTTACTTTACCCAAAGTAACATTTGTTTCAAGACATTTTACTTTACCCAAAGTAACATTTGTTTAAAGACATTTTACTTTACCAAAAGTAACATTGTCTTCAATAAAGCCACGTAGTTTGTTCCCTTATTTTATTACAGCATAGTTTGTTCCCTTGAGGCAACATAACGTAATTTGTTTCTTTGATCCAATGTTTTCCCTTGATCCAACACAGCATAGTTAGTTCCCTTGACCAAAAACCAGCAGAGTTTGTTCCCTTGACCAAAATACCCGGTGTTTTGTTTGATGTTACCATTTGATATTGATTGTTTTTAAAATTAATGTTTTATGTTAAAATTCTATGTTCTACGTTATGAATTTTTGAATTTGTATGTACATAATTTAAAACAAAATTTTTTATACTGGCAATAGAACTAGTTTTAATTAAATAAGAAATAAAGTTTCAGCTTTGTATAGTTAAATTATGTATAATTATAGAAACATTTTAATATTTAAAAATAACCATTCATTAATTGCTTTAATGTTTAAAAATAATCTTTGTAGAATATAGATAGTCATTACATTTCCAAAGTATAGACTTAACGAATGAAGTAATCAAGTTATTTCAAAGTTTATTCAGGAACTCTCATTGGAATTTTTTTTTACCACCTAAAAAATATAAGCAATTACTTCGTCTTCCAACTTTCTTTTTCAATCATGTCTCCAGTTCTATCACGTATGTAGTTCTATTTTTGTCTGTCACGCCTAAAGCCATTCGTTCGTCATGTCTGTAACTGTATCTAGTTTTGTCAAGTCTCTAAAGTCCAACTTATTTCCTTATATATCTTCACCTTTTAACTCTATAATGCGCCTCAAATATCATCACGGAATATATCAAGAATTTTGTTATATAAAATTGTACAAAAAACCCTTCTCCTACCTCAGTAAAGTTTCCATCCCATGATCCCCCACCTAAACGTTTCTCCTGTACCTCTATCACCTGGTCTCGGTAAAGTTTCCATTCTATGACCCCCACCCCCCTCCTAAACGTTTCTCCTGTACCTCTATCACCTGGTCTCCGTCGTTTCTGCAGATGGCTTCAGCGAACGATTCCAAGTGGCAGAAGGATGCCGCCGACCAGAACTTCGACTACATGTTCAAGCTCCTCATCATCGGCAACAGTAGTGTCGGCAAGACGTCTTTCTTGTTCCGCTACGCTGACGACTCCTTCACGTCGGCCTTTGTCAGTACGGTGGGCATCGACTTCAAGGTCAAGACCGTTTTCAGGCAGGACAAGAGGGTCAAGCTACAGATATGGGTGAGTTTTTTTTTTTTTATCTGGGGGTTAGTGGAGGGTCAAGCTACAGATATGGGTGAGTTGGTTTTTTTTGGGGGGTTAGTGGAGGGTCAAGCTACAGATATGGGTGAGTTGTTTTTTTTTTAATTTTGGGGGTTAGTGGAGGGTCACACTACAGAAATGGGTATTGTTTTGGTGTTAGTATAGCGTCAGCTAGAGGTGGGGGTATTTCGGTGTGTGTGTGTTTATGGGGGGGGTGCTACAGGGGTTATTGTATCTAGGAAAATTTGCAAGTTAATTTTTTGATGAGGGTAGTGTGGGGTCAGGGGTTGGTTTGGGTGGTAGTTCAGTAAAAATGTAATCATAAATACGTTTATAATTTTGAGGGTCGAATTTTTATGTCAGTGTAGAACTGAAATCTGGTGACAGGCGTCAGTGTTGCTGTCAATGTTCAGTGTAGCTTAAAGTTTTTTACCAGTCGTTAAGAATACAAGGTCAATGAGGCAGGATGTTTGAGATCCATAACTGTATTGTCAGTGTTGTACTGGGTCTGGGTGGGGTCAGAAGGTCAGCACCTTTCTTTTATTCCATGAAACGCCAGCAGTGTAGGAGCATGCAGAACACAAACAAGCTGCGGTATTGAACCTGTACTGTAGAATGAGACTTGAATGATGGGTTGTCTAACAAAAGTTGTTGTTGGTGTAGTTGGGTTGTCTAACAAATGTTGCTGGTGTGTCCAGTGGGGTTGTCTAACAAATGTTGTTGGTGTGTCCAGTGGGGTTGTCCAACAAATGTTGCTGGTGTATCCAGTTTTGTTGTCTAACAAATGTTGTTGCTGGTGTGTCCAGTTGTCGATGCCTGTACGACTGAGTTGGGGCTCACTCACGTGCAACCAGAGCCACGCTATTGTTGTCTGCACGAGCACTCGAGTCACTCATCCATGGTTCATTGATTCCACACGCCAATCGATAGTTGTATTAGAATAATTGGTGTTTGTGGTGGGGTAGGGTTGTGTGTAAAGATAATGACATGAAGCCAGATGGCAGATAGCGCTTCATCCTGCACACACAGGTATGCGGGAACACTGAGCTATGTAAGACACACTGGCGTGATGTTGCTGTGTATTGATGGGGGGGGGTGTGAAGATAATGCCATGAAGCCAGTTTGAAATGGGGGGGGGGTGGATATAATTATGATGACAAATTAGTATGATGGTTGTGTTTATTGGTGTGTGTGTGGGGGGGGGGGGGGAGGTAGGGGCAAAGCTATGTAAGCCTTTTGCGAATCCGTCATATAGAACCATGTCGATGCATACAGTATTTATGTTTTTTTGAGGAAGGGGAGGTAAAGACCTATGTAGACACATTGACATAATTGGACATAATTTATTATCCGTTTGATAAGATTTTAATTTCTTCAATCGATTTGACTCCTGGGATTATACAGTTTACAGCCTTTATTTATTTGGGTATGTTCCTTATTATATGGGAACGTAGCACTCTATGAAATGATCCCAAATGTAGGTAAACACAACTTTAGATCACAGGTTTTCAAAATGAAACCCGTGTAACCCCCTGCTGGTGGGAGGGGGGGGGGATCGAAAAATTTCAAAGAAATGTAATTAAAAGTAAAAAAAAAACCAACAACATGCAACTAAAATTTATGGTGGCTAAAAATAGCAAATTAGCAAATATATAGCTTCTAGTAACCTATTTTAAAAGCATTTAGCCACTTAGATATAAAAAGATAAAATAATTGATAGAATATAATCTTGTTTTGAGTTAAATATAAGTAACATACAATAATTGCTTTTTTTGTATGTTAAAGTTACTTCCCATTTATAAATTCATACTAACCAAGGGGGAGAATTTCCAATTGTGTTTCTTATAGTAAAAAATATTGATAGTTGAATAGTAATAAAATGATTCAAATAATTATTTTGCGTAACATATTTTTAAATCCCTAGTGAAACCATTTTTTTATCTGCAGTTATTTTAGAATAATAGTACAAAATATCTATACTCTAATTAAAATGGATAAACCGTAGCTAAATTAAAAAAAACAAATGTTTAGAGATGTTTAAAAATTACTTTAACTACATTTAGTAGCATGTATTCATGTTTGTAATTATTATTACCAAAAATATGATTTTCTTCAACCTTCCCCATCTGAACTAGGCCTGACAAATATTTTTAAAATGACCTCAAAACATTTGCGCTTTATAGCAAGAACTGTACTTGTAAAAAATAATGACATAGAACCAGCATACAGACTTTTGGATAATATTCTGAGAAAGGAACATTTTTTCTCTGATTTCAAAAGAAAAGAAAGATATGAGAAACCATTTCTTAAAAGAAGTCGACCTGTGAAAGATGTCGGAAAATTTATGATTCTGAAATGCGCAGAAAGATTGAATTTGTCATGAGAAAGAATCGACCAGATCCATTTTTGAGATAATATGTGAAGTTTTCTAAGCCATTAAATTTGTATGACTACCAAAAAAAATAAATAAAAAAAATACCAAAAATATGGCGACGAGATACAAAACAAGAAAACAAAAAATAACGGTAGCGCCTATATTATTGGTAATTTTGCTGACCACACAACTTTAAGATTAGGTATCATTTTGCTGACCACACAACTTTAAGATTAGGTATCATTTTGCTGACCACACAACGTTAAGATTAGGTATCATTTTGCTGACCACACAACGTTAAGATTAGGTATTATTTTGTTGACCACACAACTTTAAAATTAGGTATCATTTAGCTAACCATACAACTTTAAGATTAGGTATCATTTAGCTAACCATACAACTTTTAGATTAGGTATCACATTGAACAAAATTAAGAAAACCCAGGTTGCGCTTGCTATAAAAATAAAGATATTTAGAAATACAATTAGAAAATGTCAACCAATGAATGGGACTATAGCATTCATATATCTTGATTTGTGTTAACCACCGTATTGGATTCAGTATGCTTCTAGACACGTCAGTTGGTACCAAGGCACACCGTGTCATTCAATTAGAACAGTAGCCTACAGGTCAGTACAGGTTGGTCAGTCTGGCATCCAACTAATGTATGTGTGTGTGTGGGGGGGGGGGGGAGGGGGAGTCACAGTTGTTTCTTGGTTAGTCTGACATGTAACGGGCTCCAAGTTGTCGGCATGGTTGAGTTGTACATAAATCTGGTTTGATTTGTGTAGTCGTACTAGTTGCTATCGTCATTCAGTCCCACCCCCCCCCCCACACACACACCCTGTCAATTTTGTGTGGTGTGTACAAGTTCGAGGGAAAAGAAAAAACCCATCCCACCAACAGACTGGTCTAAAGGCGCCAGAAAATCGATACAGCCTCCAAAATGTGTTGGGAGGGCCTCTACTCGGTAGGGGGGGGGGGGGGGTCGGTAAACATTGGGTGGGCCTCTGCTCGGGGAGTCTGATGGAAGCTCTGAATTTATATATATATATATATATATATATATATATATATATATATATATATATATATATATATATATATATATATTATATATATATATATATATATATATATAAAGTCAACAAGAAATCCGTTGATCCTTGCCTACTAAGTCAGTAAATGTTTGCTAGAATCTGAAGGCTGGTAGTCAAGAACCAGAACTGTGGTAGCAACTGGCCATGAATTATGGATCTTACATAATGTGCGGAGTGGTTATTTTTAGGTCTATCGAATCGGAAATCAATAGCCTCCCCTACTCTAGGTCTAACCGTGTCCAGATAGATGATACCCTTGTATCAAGTGGTTGACCGACATTGACGGCTGCTCCTGTCTGTTGACCTCACGTGCAAGTAGACTGCGGAAGTAAGCGATACTTTGCGGGGTTTTGTGTGTGTTTGTTATGGAACCTTTGTTAAAAGACATGCATAGCTGTTTTGCATTTCCGGCTATGAAGTGGTTTTAACTGTAATCGTGTTTGATTTATTTACGGCTGGTTGCATGGAGCGGACCGCAAGACAGGCGGCGCAAATCAATTATTATTGACATTTTGTGTTTCTCCATTCCCCCCCCCCTCCCCTCTACACACCGGCTCACCCTAGCGGGAGACTGTGTAGCCGGGCCGAGTGCCGCAGTGAATCGCATACCTCGTTATGGAAGTGCATGAAAGGCTAAGAACGTGAAAAAGCGCTTAACTGCTCTGTACTCTGTTAAAAGGCCAGGGCTTTTGTCCGAGTCGGACCTAGGGGTAGAGGGGGGGGGGGGGGGGGGAATCGACCCCGGGTAGTGGCTGGTGTCTGACAGGGGACGTGTTCGATACGAAGATCGATACCAGTCTTGTTTTAATTGATGGATATGATGTATCGATGATTAGGGACGGCGTGGTTGAATTGTAGAGCGTTCGACTGCTAACCCGAAAATCGCGAATTCGGGTCCCTGGCTAGAGTCGTAGCACGTCACTGTGTCCACCCAACTCTGACTTACAGTTGGGAAAGTAAAGGCAGCTGGGCATCTTGCTGACCACACTATCCCGAGGTCACATAAACAGGTGCTCTACTTCATCTGCCTCGTTGGCCGTCAGGTTCGAAAAGGGAACTTTACTTTTTGTATCATTGATCGCTTTTCGAGGCCCGGGTGGGTTGGGTTTAGTCAATCCCTAGCCCAAACATCCTATGTATCCTCAATTCCTGCCGTACTATCCAAGTCCCTAACATTGTAAAATGTAGAAAACTTGATGGCATAAGCGTACAAATTCAAGCTTTTCCCCACCAATATTTCTAGGCTTTAGCCTCGGTACCAGTAAACATGAGACGGTATCAAACGAAATGTTCCGGAAATATTTTTTTTATATAAAAAAATCTTTGCCATTGAACTCTTCTTTGACCCCTAGCCTACACGAACCCTTGTCTTTAACAGTCCTTGTGTACATTAGCCTATCTGATTACAGCTCTTTATATGCTCGAGCCCACTCGTATATCAACAACTAATTTTCGATGGCTTCCTAGCGTTGGATCAAAGCGCCCCCCCCCCCCCAACCGTCCCC